GTGGATCTGGAGCGCGGTCGCCCAATCCATGCATCGGTTTGGACGCCCGAAATGGGTACGGAAAGAATGGGCACCATGCCCAACAACAAATGTTGTCCCGAACCAACAGCGGCCGCTGTTGGGCAGGCGGCCTTCTGTCTCGAATGGACACAGGCCGCGGCGGCGTGGACAGCGAGTCCTGTTCAGAATGAACAGGATCCGCTGTTGGGCATCGTACCCATTCTTTCAGTGCCCATCTCGTTCGTGCAGAATCGGGGGAGGCGCCCTCCCCCACAGGGGCCAGTGCCGCCTCGCTCGGCGGCGGAGATCTGGGATTTTCCCCCTGGAAGCGGGGCCCGTCGCCGATCCACGCCCCCTCGATATCCACGTGTGCGATCGCCTGACCAAAGGCTTGCATTCTTCGCCGAGGAGGAGGAGGAGGAGGAGGAGGAAGGAGCATGAGGAGGAGGAGCAGGAGGAGGACAGGAGGAGGAGGAGGAGGAGGAGGAGGAGGAGGAGGAGGAGGAGGAGGAGGAGGAGGAGGAGGAGGAGGAGGAGGAGGAGGAGGAGGAGGAGGAGGAGGAGGAGGAGGAGGAGGAGGAGGAGGAGGAGGAGGAGGAGGAGAGAGGAGGAGGAGGAGGAGGAGAGTAGGAGGGGGAGGAGGAGGAGGAGGAGGAGGAGGAGGAGGAGGAGGAGGCGGAGGAGGAGGAGGAGGAGGAGGAGGAGGAGGAGGAGGAGGAGGAGGAGGAGGAGGAGGAGGAGGGGTGGCCCAGAGAGAGAGAGCGAGAGAGGCCCGCAGCCTCCCTGGCGGCGCTGCCAAGAGACGCTCTCGTTTCTCACTGCACTGGCCTCGCAGACGTGCTGCAGCGGCTTTGTGCGTGGATTTCTGCCAGTGCAGAACCCCAAAAACGGCGAGGGATAAACGAAAGGAACGTCGCGTGGAATTTGTTTTAGCCTTCATTCCGGGCCCAAAACAAATTCGCACGATATTCACCTCGAAATCCGGAACGAACTTCTCCATGGCACTCCGGGCCCATCCCATCGTTTTCCGAACGAAATCCGCGCTGCGACGTTGGCGCCATGACATTTCCCCCCCGTGCCCCCCCCCCCGTGCTCGTCGCCGACCAAAGGCCCCCCCCCCATCTAACTGCACGTCCTCGCGTGCATTTCTCTCCCCTCCTCCCGGGGCTTCCTCTGAGCGGCCCGGCGCCTCCCCCGGCGCTCTCCGAGGCCCCCCCCCCTGTGAAGCTTCCAGGATGGCCGAGGCGAGGAACCAAGGCCGCCAGGGTGGGCCAGCAGTGTCTCGAGAGGCACCCAGCAGTTACCAAGAAACGCCGAGGAGATCCCAAGAAGCCTCCAATATGCCCAAAAGCACACCCAGGACGCCCTCCAGGAGGCCCTCGGGAGGCCCAAACACATCGCTCCACATGATTTTTGCTTGCCATGCCCTTCGGTCGAAAATCGGTCTAATAGGGCACCTAGACGGCCCCACGACAGCATCACAATGGCCCCAAGCCCTTAAGAAGCGTCCCAAGAGGCCTCGTAAAAGTTCCAATGCGTCCCCAAGGCGCTCTGCAGTAGGACTTCGAACGGCCCAGCATACAGTATTGTGTTTCATTGTGTGTGCTTCCATGTTTTTCCCAACCATCCTGTGGTGCTGGGTCCTCGTTTTGAATCAGCAGCGCCACGCACCACCTCACCACCTCCCCCTCAACCTCCCTCCTCCCGCCTCCCTCCTCCTCCTCCTCCTCCTCCTCCTCCTCCTCGTTCTCGTCATCATTATCATCATCATCTTCATCATCATCGTCATCGCCATCATCATCATCATCATCATCATCATCATCATCATCATCATCATCATCATCATCATCATCATCATCATCATCAGCATCAACATCATCACCATCACCATCACCATCACCATCACCATCACCATCATCATCATCATCATCATCATCATCATCATCATCATCATCATCATCATCGGCATCACCATCATCGTCCCCACCACCATCATCAACACTGTCATCATCACCATCACGCCATCATCACCGTCAACATCACCACCATCATCACCACCACCATCACCATCACCACCACCATCACTATCGCCATCACCATCACAGTCACGATCACCATCATCATCAACGTCGTCATCAGCAGCAGCAGCATCATCATCATCATCCTCACCATCACCGTCGTCAGCATCATCATCGTTATCAGCATCAGCATCATCATCACCACCACCACCATCATCATCACCATCACCACCATCACCATCACCACCACCACCATCACCATCACCATCACCAGCATCAGCATCAGCATCATCCTCCTCCTCCTCATCATCATGATCATCCTTGTCATCACCATCATCCTTGGCATCAACATCATCATCACCATCATAAGCATCAAAATCAACACTATCACTATCACTAATCACATTCGGCCCGCCCGTTACACGTTCCGTGGCCCCATAAGGAGCTCCAACGAAGGCTCAAGCAAGAAGGCCCGAATGCCGCTCCCCCCCCACCACTCCGGCACCCCCCTCACGCGTTTCGTTGCCCCATCGGGAGCTCCACTGAAGGCTACAGCAACAGGAAGGCTCGTATGCTGCCCCCCCCCCCCTCACTCTGGCACACCACTCGCGCGCTTCGTGGACCCGTAGGGAGCTCCACCGAAGGCTCCAGTCGGAGGGAACGCAACCCGCCCCCCTCCACCGTGGGATACCCCTCACGCGATTCGTGGCCCCATAGGGCGCTCCACCGAACGCTCCAGTGGGAGGGCCCGCATGCCGCCACACCTCACAGTTGCACACCCCTCGCAGGTTGCGTGGCCCGATAGGGAGCTCCACCAGGCTCCAGTCGAAGGCCCGCATGCCGCCACCCTCCCACTTTGGCACACCGCTCACAAGTTTCGTGGCCCAATAAGGAGCTCCGCTGGGCTCCAGTCGGAGGGACCGCATCCCACTTTGGCACATCCCTCACACGTTTCGTGGCCCAACAGGAAGCTCCACCGAAGGCTCCAGTCGGACACCCCCTGTGCCCGCTCGCGTCGCTGCCGCTCCTGCATTCGCACGCTTCCGTGACTGCACGACTGATCCCTGCGCACCCCCCAATACTTGGTTTCAACATGCACTTTCGGTGATCGATTCTCCTCGCCCCGTCCACTCTGCATCGCACCCCGTCGTTTCCGTGGCACGCTGCCCATGGGGATGGGCCGCATCCGACGCCATTCGCGGTTTGCTTGCCCCCTCCTTCGTTAAATTTCCCTTGCGGACCCGCAACTGCATATGATTGGGTTCCTCGCCCGGATATTTCGCTTCCGACGCTTTCAGGTCGAAGATCAATGCACTTGCGGTCAGTCGAGTGCGCAAAGGGACCCACTGAGAGCCCCAGGAAGGCCCTTAGTCGGCTTAGGGCGGACAGACCCAAGACGGCCAAGAGAATCCCACGACAACCCAGTATGGCCCAAAGACGGCTCAGGAGGGCCCCGAGACAGCCTAAGAGAACCCCAAGGCGCCCCCCGACTGCCCCATAGCAGCCCAATGCAAGGCCAGGGCGGCCTAAATACGTAGACTCCATGAGAGCTCATCAAGGCATGGAGACGAGGGGTGTGTTGCGCGATGTTTTTTTTGGGTAGTGCTCGAAGTGTCGCCACACAGACCGCTTTGCTGGCACGGTGGCGGATTTGCCGCAGGCAGCTGAATGCTTCTCCTCGATTTCGGTTTCTGGGGTTCGGTTTCGGCTTCAGGACCTTCAGAAATTATGAAGGCTCGGCCAGGGGGACACTTTTTGGGGTGATTCGGGGATCCGGTTCTCGAAGGAAAAACGATGCATCATTGCTCGGCATCTTTTTGGCGTTTATGGAGGGTCTCGCCGCCATGGGCCCGATTCGATTTACTATTGGCCAACATGGACCCTGGGAGGTAGCCCGGGGACCGATCTTGGAAAGATTTTGTGGTGCGGGTAAATGTACCGATCCGGATGCCCTTCCATCGTTTTCGCTCTTTGCAGCCTCATGGGTGGCCCTCGTCGCGACGGCTGGACCCGCCTCGGAATCCTGGTCGGGGCGCGCCCTAGGAGGTGTCCATGCAAAGAGCAGCGGCACACGTGCCATTTCTCGGACAAGCCACAACTAAGGGAGCTGCGTTCCTTACCCCCCAGCGGGGAACCCGTCGCTTCGACGACCTCTCGGGAGGGGAAGGTCGAATCCGATGGGTTCCCCAAGGGGTACGGACCGCAGCTCCCCCATCTGTGGCTCGCCTGCTTCCCAGACACTGTTTCCGTCAACGGCGAGGCGGCGAACTCCGCTCCAGCGAGAAGCCAGAAAGGGGCAGTAACTAGCGAATCGGCCAGCGGGCAAAGAGGAGGGGGGGACGGCCGAGAGGAAAAAAGGACGCTCAGACGTCGAAGAGTTCGACGATGAGCAGCCACGGGGGGCAGCAGCAGCCAGGCGCGCAGGGCCAGAGCGTTGTGGGCGGACGCGGGTCTGCTTCCCAGACACGGGGCCAGTTTTTCATCCTGATTGACGGTCCCTGGGCTCGGCAAGGCCCTCCCCCAGCCAACGCCCTGGGTGCAAACACGGCCAACGCCCAGCCTCTGCGATTAGTGGAACGCGCTGGGTGATAGAGGAAGGGAGAGCTGCGTGAACATGAACTTTCGGAGCTCCGCGCGGATTTCCTGGATCGGCGCCAGACCCCCCCTCCCTGGCGCGCGGAGCGCTCCAGGGGCGGCGCCAGAATCGCCGCCATGTTAGAGGGGCCCCGATCCAAGACACCCGCGCGGAGCTCCAAGAGTTCGTGCTCATGCCGCTCGTGATGCTTGTTTCTTGTACGCAGAAAGCATCTATACACCACCACCGTGCCGACCTGGGGCCATCCTGGCCCCGGCATGGTGTACACGCCCTCCTGGCCGAGGCCAGGAGGGTCTATACATCATTCTAGGGCCCAGTACGGCCCTGGCCTGGCAAGGCGGTGGTGTATAGACGCCTTCGTCGGACTCTTGGCTCCCCGTCTCCGCGCACGCCCGCGCCGCAGCAGGCAAACAAACCCCAGCCTTGGGCGGCTTCCTCGCCTGTAGGGAAGGTCCAGGGTCGAACCGATGAGCCGGATCGGCGATCGAAACGAATCGGATCGGCGGAAATCGGCAGCCGAGTCGGGAGAAGTCGAATCGGAGGAGCCCGGCAGAGCAGTAGGCAAGCTCCGGTGAGAAATCGAAGCCGGCATCGGAATCTCAAGCCGAACGGAATCGGAATCGGAGGCCGTCGAGATCGAACCGAACCGGATCGGCGGAGTCGACATGAGCCCCGCGCCTGCCGCGGCGGGGGCCGCTTCCGCGGCCCCCCCGGAGGGCTCCGCCTCCCCCCGCGCGGCGGCCCGCGGCAGCTCGCGCGCGGGGCTCGGCAGGCCCGCCTTGGCGCCGCTGCCGTCGGCGCCTCGTGGCGCGCAGGAGGGGTCAGGATCGGGGGGAACGAAAGGGGGGGAACGAAGGGGGGGGAACGAAGGGGGGAACGAAAGGGGGGGAACGAAGGGGGGGAACGAGAGGTCAGGATCGGGGGGAACGAGGGGGGGGTGTAGCAGAGGGTAGGGGTAGATAAATCAGCTCACGTAGCTGATTTTCCAGCGCCTCCCAGCGCCGGGAGGCGCCCATGTATCGAGGAACGGGCCCGGCGGCGGGGCCGAAGCCAGCTGCATGCCGCAGATTTCGTACCCCCCCCTTTCCCTATCCCCCCCTTTCGTTCTGCCCGATAGGATTAGGTCGGGTATGTCCCCGTACAGGCGGATTTTGGATGAAAAATGAAAAATAATCAAAAAATGTTCAAACATATGCAAACATGATAGAAAAATCGTTCCCAGACTGTTGTTTGGACTATGTTTGAATGTTCCTCCTGCAGAGGGACACGCCGGACTCAAGGTTAGGAGGCGCCCCCTGGGAGGTGTTCGTCAGAACGACCAATGGCTGTTGAGCCAGATTGCAGGGCTACTGAGCAAGCCAGGGTCAGCTCGGGGTTGAGCGGGAGTAGGCCAGACTGGGCGGACTTGGGCCAGCTTTCAGTGGGATTCCGCCAGTTTTCGACCAGGGATATACCAGCGCCGACTCAGAACGGAACTCCCAGGAGTTGCATCCTAAGATGCGGGCCCAGAAAGAATGGGTATACGAGGGCATTTCTCTTTAGACCCAAGCGGAATTACTTGCATGGCATTTCCCCCAAACAATTTAACATTGTGCATACTACTCGCCCTCCTCCCCTGAACTTGTCCGGAAGATCACCCGCGCCCTCCGCGTGCTGTTCTTTTACACACATGGTTTCACAACTTGCTTTTTATCATGCTTTTTTCAATCCGATTGTCTTCGGTGTTTCCCAGTGGAGCTCCCGCTGCAACGTGGGCCTCATTTTCGGATCGGCGCTGTGCTCCCGTCGTTCATAAACGGCGCTCTCGCTCCAGCGCGGGCTACTTTTCTAGATCCGAATCTTGCTTCATTGCGGTCCCCCCCTCATTTCCCCTCCTCCGCCTTCCCCTGGTCCTCCTGCCCCTCCCGCTCCTTATTCCTGTTTCTGCTGTTCGTCAAGCCCCAGCGCGGGCCACTTTTCTGAATCCGGATCTTTTTTCATCGTTGCCGCCCTTCTCATTTCCCCTCCTCCGTCCCCTGGTCCTTCTTTTCCTTCCGCTTTAGTTCCTGCTGCTGCTGTTCGTCTTCATCCTTTTCCCCCCGCTCATCCTCCTGCTCACCCGCCACCTCCTCCTCCTGTGCACGAAACTCCACTTATTGCGCATGCCACGAAATGATCTTTCCGTGGGAATCCCAGGCTGGCTATGACACGCGTCCCTGAATAATGGAAGCTCAGCGCTGTGGAGAGGGATGGGAGGGAAGGTTAGGATGTCAGATGGGGAGCGAGCGCACCTAATTGTCCCCTCTATCTCCGCCGCCTCTTCGAGCCATGCTGGGCCGAAAAGGCGTGCACGTAAATCCTGGCTTGCGTGAAGTCCAGATTCCATTTCGGGCCTCGCCATGCCCCCATCCCCCTCCCCCCTTCCATGGCCAGAATCTTAAAACACTGCCTCTAATGCCCCAAAGCAAATGTGGTCTAAATCCGACTGCGACCGCTGTTGGGCAAGCGACCTTCATCTGTGGCGGCACCGACTGCGATTCCTGTGCTACATGGTCAGGCGCTTCAATCGGCCTTCGTACTCACCCTTTCAGTACCCGTTCCGATCGTACTGAACCTTGCCATCACTCGGACGCCTATTCCCCGTGCACTGTTTGGCTTCGTGCGCGTTTTTCCCTCAAGATGATCCAGGGTGCTCCAAGTTCAGAGCAGGGACTGACTGCCCGTCATTCCGATAGGCCCAACACATTCTAATAACAAAAACAATGATCTGAGAACGTACAGGCGACGTGTTAGCACAGCACGGGCTCAGCCAGAACTGTCATCATCGACATTTCGTGCAAACCACAAGAGGCTCTTCGAACCTTCTTTTTGGTGGGCATATGGGCAAACCAGGACGCCTGGCCACTACGTTTAGGTCGGGCATGTCTCCCTACAGGCGGCTCTTGCATGAAAAAGAAGAGATAGTCAAAACAGACTCAAACATAGTCAGATACAGTCGAAACATCGTCCTCATAGCATTTCTTTTACTATTTTTGAATATTCATCCTGGAGAGGGACGTGCCCGACGTAACCCTGCGAAAGCGATGTGCAGAACTTCTGGCGTTGGCCCCGCCGAAAACGTGCACACGTCCGGGCGACGCCGAGGAGCCTCCGTCGGGCCAGTGGGCCGCGGCGACGAGCAGCAGCAGCGCCGCCGCGAGGCAGCGCAGCCAGCGCTGCGACGCCAGCCCCGCGTCGGCCGCGATCGACAGCACGCAGAGCACGCCGCAGGCCTGCACGGCCCGGCCCACGAGGTCCGCGGGCAGGAGGCGGCCGCTACATGCCCCCATCCGAGGAGGGGCGGCCCAAAAGAGACAGCCGCTGCCTCGGATAAAAACTTGGCTGCCAGACTCTCTTCCTCCTCCTCCTCCTCCTCGTCCTCCTCGTCCACCTTTTCCTCCTCCTCCTCCTCCTCCTCCTCCTCCTCCTCCTCCTCTTTCTCCTCCTCCTCCCACCGCCGCTGCTGCTGCTGCTGATCCTCCTCCTCCTCCTCCTCCTCCTCCTCCTCCTCCTCCTCCTCCTCCTCCTCCTCCCACCGCCGCTGCTGATGCTGCTCCTCCTTCTCGATCTCGAACAGTACCGCTGGCTGCTGGCAAGCTGGTCGGTTCGCGGCGTCGTCTTTGAGATGGTCACCGCGTACGTCCTGCACTCATGAGAGGACAGGCTGGGCAGAAAGTTACGGACCCAGTCTGGAGAGCGCTCCCCTTCCCCCTTCCCCCGTCTCCTTTCCCCCTCCTCCTCCTCCTCCTGCTGCTGCTCCTCCTCCTCCAGATGGTGCCTGCTTCCGCGGAGAATGGCTGGCAAGACCCACCGATGCCAAAGCACTACGGTGGGGGTATCGGATAAGGAACCCTTAGATAAGGAATCCAGGGTCTGGAAGCTGGTGGAACTCGAATCGAGGCTTGGCAATGGATAACACCGCCGCCCTCAGCAGATAAGGGATCCTCCAAGGTCTGGATCCTCCCGGGCACACTCCTCACCCAACGCCCCCATTGTACCACGCCAGGCCTGTCGCGCTTCCGCCACGCTCGTGCCCCCGTGTCTGAGTTGCGAAGATGGGCCGAAGCGGTGAGCTGCTGCCCAGCACATGGGTGCGCGAAATCCCACGGGCCCTCTGGGCGGAGGTGACCGAGAGCGCTTTCTCTTCCAATCCCCTTCCTGAAGATCCGGGCCGCTCCACTTAAATTGGAGCAGGCGGTTTTTGGCCATATTCGGCCTCTAAGGGCCCTCGCTGGGCCTCGGGACCGTCAAACAACGACTCAGGACAAAAAAACAGTCCCGAGGGAAGGGCCCCTCTAGGGCCCACGCATCGAAAACATTGGAGCAGCAGGATGTCGGGGTTCCTACCCTTCGGACAATTTTTTGGACGGTCGGGGAGCAATCATGAGAGGGTCCAAAACGGTCATCAAGGTGGCGCAATAGCCCAAGATGGCTCAACCCGACCTCCAACATGCCTCCAAGAGAACCCCAGATGGCACCACGTGGCCGCATAACCTGCTAAGGCGACCCGTCCTGCGAGGGTTCTAAGAAGAGGTGCTTCTAAGAAGAGACGTTTCGGGCTCCAGGGGCAGCGCTAACTCACGCTGCTACCCTGTCTCATTCGCAAAATCATGGAGCAACCTTACGTGGTTGAACATTCGATGCCTTACGGGGGCATCCTTGGGAGATTTTTGGGCCAATATGGCGGCAATCTTGTCCCATCGGCTATACGCAGGAGTGACCCTGGGCAAGAGTGACCCTTGGTGCGCGGCTTTCGGGGACATGCGACGTCCTGATTTTTTCAGGACGGCGTCCCTAAAGTCCCGACCCTTTCCCTGGGACCAGCTTGTCATCCTGAGTCGTTTTTTGACGGTCCCGAGGCCCGGCGAGGGCCCCCAGGGGCCGAAAACAGCCAAAAACCTCTCGTCCTGATCTTTTTTACGACGCGATCATGTCTGGGATCGCATTCGCTGATCTGGGGACCCCAATGGGCCCGCACCACCGGCCACTCTGGCGAAAAGCCACTCCTACGTGTAGTCGCTCCCGGCCCGCCCGCTTCTTTACGGCCCTGCCACCGCCCGACCCGGCGGGTTACGGTCCCGCCCGCCCGACCCGCCTGTTGGGGTCAGGTCGGGCACGTCCTCCTACAGGAGGATTCCGACGAAAAATTAAAAATAGACAAACCATGCCCCCCAAATAATTAAGCATTCGGAGAGAATCGTCCCCGAACTACTTTTGGACCATATTGACATCTTCCTCCTGTAGAGGGACACGCCCGACTTAATGTTAGGGGCCAGCGGGCCCTTCGGTGAAACCAGCCTCAGCGACACCAGCATGCCGCGAAACCAGTCATTGTGAAACCAGCCCCAGGACGGCCCCGAGGCGGCTCCAAGTGGACGGCTCCTCCCAAGGACGCCAGCAAGAGGCCAGCAACACTCAGAACCATGTGGGTCATCGATCTTCTTTCCCTCTTACCGCATCTTCGCTTCCCATGGGCCTGTGAGGCCTCATGATGGCCCCGAGGCCGCCCAAGGGACTTTCAGGAGGGCCCATGGAAAAGGCCCCAAGAGCACTCCAGAGCACGCACCCCAAGAGGCTCCCCGAGACGCTTTCTCGGATCGCCTTTTTCCTCCTTGATGCCGCCGAGAGGGGCCCCCCCCACGGCTCCGATATGGGGCCCTGGAGATCCGAAGCCCTCTCACGTTGCCCCACCCAACGGTCAAATCTTGCCGCAGGCGGAGGAGGAGGAGGAGGAGGAGGAGGGGGAGGAGGAGGAGGAGGGGGAGGAGGCGGAGGAGAGGAGAATGAGGAGGAGGAGGAGGAGGAGGAGGAGGAGGAGGAGGAGAATAATGATGATGATGATGATGATGATGATGATGATGATGATGATGATGATGATGATGATGATGATGATGATGATGATGATGATGATGATGATGATGATGATGATGATGATGATGATGATGATTATGATGATGAGGAGGAGGAGGAGGAGGAGGAGGAGGAGGAGATGGAGGAGATGGAGGAGATGGAGGATGGGGGATGGAGGATGGAGGATGGAGGAGGAGGAGGAGGAGGAGGAGGAGGAGGAGGAGGAGGAGGAGGAGGAGGAGTCGGCTCCCAGGGCGAGAGAGATCCGCGGCGGCCCTGCTGGTCGCCTCTCCGTGGGCCTGCCCGGGCCGACGACCTCGAGCCTCCGTCGTGGGACGGCCGCCTCTCCCTCGCTGCAGCGCTGCGGGCTGCGAGCAGGCGCAAGGGCTGCGCTGCCCCATACAGGCGGGTTATTGAGAACAGGACGCGCGACAGGACACAAGACTCTTCCGACGGCAACATGGCCTCCAAAACCACAGGACACAAGGGTACCCTGCCGAGGCCGCGACCGCGGTTACCCGCGGCCGACCCGCAACCCCGCGACGGGCGGCGCACGCCAGACAGGACGCCAAGGGTATCCGACAGGACGGTGGGGGCGTTTTATCGACATGAGCATAAAGCAACTGAGATTCGACACGCAGCCAGGAACCCCGCCCACAGCGCAGCATCGTACGCCGAAGGGCACTGGGCGAAACACGGCGGGGGCCTCAGCGGTAAGGGACGGTGAGGGCCTGGATGCTCCGAGCCAGGGCCTGCGCGTCCATCACGACCACATCCATCCATCACGGATAAAGAAACAATGGGTAAGACATCAAGGGTCTGGAAGCCGGTGGAACTCCAATCGTGGAGTGGCCACGGATATCCCCGCCACCCTCATCATATAAGGAACCCTCCAGGGTCTGAACTCTCCTGGGCAATTCCTTAATCCACGCCACCACCGTATTCGTCGTGAAGCTCATGGCGTACATGTTCATTGGCGCCCATCCTCGGCCTCCGCCGTCGAGCACGCGTTCGGCCTCGTGTTCGCATGGGGAGGTTAGAAGATTGCGGCGCTTCGCGTCTGTTCCGATTCCGATTCCGATTCCCACACTTCCCTGACCAAAGCAGCTCGTCTGGGCATCGTTTCTGCATGGGCTGGCGGGAATCCAGAAGTCCGTATCAGCGAGAGCTCCTGGGGGAGAAGCGACCCGACGTGAGCATACGCCTCTTCGGGGAGGGGGGGCAGTACCGTCGAGGGCTCCCAAGGGAGCGGCGGATCGACGTGAGTCCGCCTCTTCGGGGGGCGGTCAGTACCGTCGAGAGCTCCCAGGGGAGCAGTGAGAAGCCCGATGGGACGGAAGCGCGGCGTGACGTGGTGGCGTGGACCACCAGCGTCGAGTGCACGACTGCTTCGTTCGAAATCCGGGCCAGGCGGTGTCGCAGCCCCCGTCATGCGTCGGCTCTCGGCTTCGGGACCGGCCCTTCGAGCTGTCCACTCCACTCCCCTCTTCCTCCCGCTGCTCCTGCTGCTGCTCCTCCTCCCCTCCGCAGACGACGGAGACGAAGGAGAGGGACAACGATAGGGGGGACTGGCACATGGGGGGATGCATCGGCCTGGAATCGGCGATACATCGCCGATAGATCGGCGACAGGCCTCCGATCGTGACTCCGCACCTTCGTGGGCAGGTTGGGGCTATCGGGCCCCTGTCGGCGATCAATGGGCGATTGGGGGTCGATGCCTCCCCCCCTGTGCCGATCCCCCCCCCTGTCGTTGCCCCCGAAGAACCGACGGGGACGGCAGAGATGACGGAGGCGGCGAGCACGACGGCGACGACCGCCGGGGCGACGCTGGGCACGCCGCAGTGCAGGAAGGGCGACCTCTGGAGGGCGTGGCGGGCGACGGCCCAGCCCTGGCTCTCCGCGGCGTCCCTCCCGCAGGCGCGCGTGATGCTGCTGGTGATGGTGATGGTGATGGTGGTGATGGTGGTGATGGTGATGGTGCTGGTGATGATGGTGATGCTGCTGATGGTGATGATGGTGCTGCTGATTCTGATGATGGCGATGGCGATGGCGATAGTGATGATGATGGTGATGATGATGATGATGATGATGATGATGATGATGATGATAGTGGTGGTGATGCTAATAGTGGTGGTGGTGATGATGGTGACGATAAGAGTGAACAAGCAATAATGAGAGAATGATGGGGGAATAACTCTAATTTGATGATGATGATGCTGCTGATGATGATGGTGGTGGTGAGGAGGAGGATGAGGAGGATGAGGCGGATGAGCACAATGATGATGCTGATGATGATGTTGTTGATGATGATGGGTGAGGGGGAAGAGGAAGGAGAAGAAAGGATCCGAGGATGGGGGAAAGGGGAACATGGAAGGGTTGCAGACGGATGGACGAAGGAGCCTAAAGAGGAAACATAATGATAGAGGAAAGGAGGAGCAATCCCCGAGGGGAAGAGGCCGCCCCCGCTTTTGCATCCTTTTTGGTTGTTGTTCAA